TTACTTCCACTTGACAGTCTACTATTCTCTTCACAATGTACCTGAATAACGGACGAACGAGTTTGTTCGGCCGGTGAGAATTAAATAGATGAAACACATTTTTGTTGTCCGTGTGTATATAAATTCTTCTTGAACTAGAATTTATACCTAGATCAATAGCTGCCAATACTGCTAACAACTCGGCCCAATAAATATGCCGAGAAGGCAAAGGCAGTTTGTGATAATAGGCCAATCTCTCTTTCGGATTCCAAACTCCAATACCAGATGGACATGCATCAACATAGAAAATTGAGTCCGCTTGAAACGCCGACCAAGTTGTAGATTTTAGTATCAGAACCCCGTTAGAAGCTTCAAAATACTTTATTAACCAACGTAAGTCCTGCTGGTTTTCTTTGTTCAGATGAATCGGAAGAAATCGACCACACTTCCCAGCTGTTTTTTCGTATAAGCTTTGGAGGGCAAACCGACCCATTGGCATCGAATTGAAACCCCACGAAATCCAACCTTGCATCGAATGCCAATCCCTTAAAGAATGACTCGGAGACGAAACAAAATTCTTCATCGAATTAACCATTAGTAACTTTTTGTCCGCTTCGAGATAAATACTCATTTTCTCTGAGTCCACGATGTGTCCAATGATCTCTAGAATTGACCCGTGAACTTGTTTCTTCCAGACCCAAGGAACACCTAGAATGTCGAAAACCATAAGTAATTTCGCTTGAGGACCTGGAATTCTATGATCTTTAAACACAATCCAATCATCTGCTGCAGCTGCGGACCAAACGTCGTCCATCATATTATTTAAATATTTGATGTGAAATACGTTTTCTGCAATCCATAACACTAGAGAAAAAACTCCACACCATATGTGAGGGGATGCCGATGAGCCAAAATTAAGATTGTGATCAACCCGGAATTTCTTTTTGATTCTAAGAATTTGCCTAATTTGATATTGACGATGAAGAGGTAATGTTCTGAATGCTCCTTCCACATCCGATTTATATAAGGTAATATTTCCATGTTTCTTTTTCAATTCGATTAAAAAAGGAACCCAAGATTTCAAAGAGTCATAAGAAACCTTTATTTTATCCTTGTCAATCAGATCATTCGGAGAAGGCTTCCCGAAACTCATATTTGAGCATACTCGCATCTTGTCCGAATCTTTCTTCGAAGTCATCAACAAAGGGATAACTTTCATTCCGGGCAAGAGAGTCGAAAATTCTTCAGAGTAACGTCCTTTCAAGATTTCTTCTTCACACTGTTTTTCTAGTAAAGCTTGATTTTCAAAACATGTTTTATGATTCGGAGTATCGACGATAATAGATGATGGTAAGGAAGAGGACGGCCAAAAACCTTCCCTCAATCCTTTCAACGCTGAATTCACAAACGGTCTGTTGGGGTGAAATTTTAGTAATTCTTCCATTTTGTCGATGTTGAATGGAGTTGCTATTTTAAATAAATAATGAAACTGCTTCAGAGCAAAAGCAGCGTCTTGATCTTCCTCTAAAGATGGAGCGTCAGGAAATGGCTCAGCCGTGATACTAGATTCGATCGAAGCTGAGAAACCGAGAGGATTGCTTCCATCCCATTGATAACCTCGAAGATATTTCTCCGAAGTATACTCTTCAGGCGTGATTGCATCCCCTGTGTTTTGCACCACATCCCCTGACATTCTATGGACACTAGTATCAGTATAAGAAACCAATACTAGATAAAACATAACCAAAAACTTCACAAATATATGAACTTTACCTACACATAAATGTAAGTGCTTGCAATCTGGGTTTTGGCAATCTGAGGTACTGTTATACGCTAAACAGTATTGCTCTTCCAATCTAACCCCCTTCGATTCTGTAATCGGAAAAGTCCCTTTTTGCTTAAAGTCCGGAGTATAATGCACCCCAGGCGTAAAAGTCTTAGTCGAAGGACCTTGAAGAGGAAGGCCTTTTCTTCGAAAAGGCTGCTGATAAGAAGGCTGTGAAACATAACCGGTAAGTACTAACACAATGAACATATCCATAAAAACCACTTACTCGAGAAGAAGAGGCAGAGATATTATTAGAAAAACTATTCTGCACGTAAGCACTTCCAAAGAACCAAGTTTTGAGGACATCAAAGTCCTTATGATCCCAGTCTGCAAAACAAATGTAACGCCTATCTGCCACTTGACTCCTAAAAGCTGCATCATAGTCCGCAATATTCTTCCAATTCGCTCTGATACCTCCAGACCAGAACTGAGATTTAATATATTTCGAATAATCAGAAATATATTTTGAACAATCCGGGAAAGCCATCTTGATAGCTTTCTTGAGAATTCTAAAATAGTATTCCCATTCGGCCAGGTCGTCAATCTCTTGAGTATAATATTTTGAAACTTCCAAACCTTTCTCTTTTCCTGAAGCTGCATAAGTTGTATCTCCTTTCTTTTTGTTAAGCAGCTCTCCTTTGATTCGTCGTAAGTCAATAAAATGGCCTTGTAAAAGTTCTTTAGATAAGACTTCCGCAAAATGAGCAGGTTTGCCGTTTTGATTAAAACCTTTGACAGCTGCTGCAATACTGGACTCATAACCTTTAACATCCGCTGCAAACAAACAAGCTCCTGGAGTAAACTCCACATTATCCTCGGCCGTAACCACTTTCTTCGTGATAAACGCAAATTTCTTGTTGTCTTTCTCAGACTTTGTTGTTGAATCTGAAGATTTAGAAGATGAACTTTTGTCTTTATTATGACGTTCTCTCTTCTTTCCTTTTGATTGTCGATTGTCGAGCAACATATTGATTCGATTTTGAGCATCGACATTTGCTCTTGATAGCGAAGCCACTCTTTCCTCCATTGAGATTTCTCCCGTTTGAACACCTGGAGATATTTCTCCTTCTCCTCCTTGTCTTCTGTTTGAAGGACCCGCTTCAGGAGAACCTCGGACTGATAGATCTGGTGGATATTCTGGACTAAGAGGGGGAGCGAAGATGTATAATCGGTCATTATCTGACCTTGGCGTGGAAGTCGGTCTAGCCCCTTCATTCTTAAAAACTGGTCTCTTGGCGGCTCCATCTTTCCTGACCAAATCGTAAGAGAATTCTGACCAGTGCCTATACCAATTCCTTGATGTATAAGGAACGATCTTTGCAAACTGGCTTCTGAGTGACACCATTGAAGTGTTGTCTGAACCACCGGACGAGAGATATTTCTCTCTAAGTTCATCCAACTTGACAGTGACCAAAGCCGCTTCAGCATATAGGCCGCCATCACTTGACATATCCTTTTTCGAATTCTTTTATCCAACGGTAAACAAGAACGAAAAGCTTTCTAAAGTGTCTCTACCTGTTCTTTGAAAAAAATTTAAATTTGTAATGAATACCTTATCGAGAAAGACTAGAATTAATGAGAATGGAAATCTAGACGGAATAAGGTAAACGAGATAAAGGAAAAAGGATGTGAATTATCGAGAGAATCGCGATGATGTCATTTTACCAAGTGGTAAAATAGATATCAAAAACCCGATCCGATAACACAAAACTTTTACTCGATCATCGATGTACCTATATTCCCGATATTCCAATCTGTAAATAACGAGTTACCTACTACTATTCTTCATCAAAAGCACAGACGAATTTATGTACCTTTGATGATTGCTTTTGAGACTCAGTCTGGTCAAAATGACAACGTGATGAATATCAATCTCAGTCAACTGTCATGAAGTACTTATCCAGATCACAACTGAACTCCTTTACAGACCGGTGGCGGTAATGAAATATGACTTACTTATAAACAGCTCATATCCCACAGACGTATTTAAGAATAAAAGGCAAAACCTTGTGAGACCGCATGGCGTTCTCCAAATATCTTGATCAGGCGTTCAAAAATGAAGTATCTCGTTAAAACTAGTCTTTCAACTATCATCCCTTTCACGCATTGCAAGACATATATGAAGATGACACTACCAATTCCTCAGCAACAATCCAAGAAGTACAATGAGTGGATTGCAGGGCGGGATGCGAGTTTTCTTCAGGAAAGTGACGGGAACAAAGTTACAGAACAATGTTCATGATGAGGAAAGAGAGGTGAATTCCCCCTCGATTTTCGATCTGAGATATCGTTTTATGACCGTTTGAGCAAGAAAACTGACCTTCAAATCTCTTGAACTGCATTGACATTCAGCGTAATCGGTTTGAAGGAGCATAGAATAATGAGCAATGAGAGGTCTAAGTCACTCAAGATTGATGGTTTACAATAACGTCAATCAACAATCATCTTTAGATACGTAGCGTAGTGGATTCGATATCCAAGATTATACTACCAGTAGTGACTATATATGTCTCTCGGCATGCTTCTTCCGCCAAAATAGAAGCTCGATGTCAGGGCACCAAGGAATGTTATATTAGAGCATGGAAAGAAATACCATCATGATCACTACATCAGTCGGCAAGACGAGCTTGTGGTTCGGGAGACCTTATAGAATGAACATGTTTTTTGAAACCAATTAGAAAGCACTCCACACACTTTGTGGGCTAATGCTGCTTTTCGAAATTGCGTATCCGCCTCAGCATATCATAAATGTAGCCTGGTAAGTGTTTGGAAGCATCATCAGCTCAAAAATGTAAGGTTTGCATTATGATAACAAGGAAAAGATGCATTTGAAAAGACACCGTATACTTATTTTCATTAATCAAAAGTCCTTCCAACATTAAAGGCATTCTTAGAGAGCGTCGGTGGCCAGTTGTACTGATCCTTGCTACTTTCTTCAGCAATCAGCATGATTCGTGAAGCTGATCTCGCGAATATAAAAGGCATGAGCTTTTTCAGGAATCATTGCTTCTCATCAATCCAACTTCCACTTCTTACAACAGACTTGAAGTATTGGATTATTCTCTAAAGATCGCATCCATCAGCAAATTTTAAAAGACACTTATTCTCTTCAAACCAACGCATACATCACCACTTCATACGCTCCAATTCACTTCATTCTTGTCTCCAAAGCCACTGCTTATCAGCCTCTAAGATGTCGTCTTTGGATTCTCACGATAGCCTTGCCCTCGGTTCTGACAATGCTCCCGAAGCAATTCCTACTTCCAGCTTTGAAGACATGAAAATTACGACTAACTCTGCCGACTCTGACTCTTCTGGATCAAACGAAACGTAAGTATCATTTCTTTTTCAAGATCTCTTTCATTCTTTGTTTAGTGTTGGATCTCAACTGAAAATTGGTGTGATCAATCTTTTAACTCTGTAGTTCTGAGGTCTCGAATCCACCCGCTGGACGATACAAGGTATACTACCGACAAGGCCCTCGTGATTCTTTACTCGTAAACTCTCCAAAGAGCGACACACTTTGCAACATTCCCGAAAACTACGAAGTTAAATTTCCGAAAAGTTCTTCATCAATCCTATCTACTCAATCGATTCCTAAAACCCGCAAACGCAAAAAACTTCCCGCTGGTCGTGGAACTCCAACCCAAATCTCTTGTGATGTGACCGGAACTCTTTCTCAATCTTTAACGGGCTATGACCCAGTTGATTCTCCTTTGAACAGATTAGCCATCGAACGAGCCATACTTTTTGTAGGTCAAATGATATCTCTTTCCGACGAAGACTCACTTATTCCTTCCATCAAGATCAGAATGCAAGAAGATATTGCTAGGATCTTAGAAGTTCCTCAACAAGTTTTTAACCATCATGATTTGTTACGTTCTATAATTGATGTTTTTAGATATTGGGTTCAAGAGATGATCAAACGTGATCGATCGGTCGAAGTTGAAAGGTAAGCACATTCTTATTTACAATCTTCATTTCTGATCGATTGATTGTTTCTCTGACATTTTGTTTTGTTTTTTTAGTTTGTTGAATTTGATCCAGGCTTACAAATCTGAATACGAATTATCTTGAACAACGTCCTCATCTTGAATATCTTTTCTCCAATCATCATTCCCTTCATACTATGTACATACATATCCAATGTTCCGAAACAAACCCACTTTAAAATTTTCTTGTTGACTAGCCCGATCAGCGGCGGGCGCCGCATGATTGCATCCTGCTTGCTCCATTTTGCCAATTGACACCGCTTTCTTGTGAGCATTTATTTGATCCACCACTCAACCTAGGACCTTCCCATTTATAATATGTATAAAACCCTTTTTATTACCAAACCAAAAAGAAACTCTGCATAGTCAAAATCCAAAAACTTGAAATACTCTTCCAAACTTCACAAAAGAAACACCCAATGATCATACATAGAAATCAAAATGATATTTTTGAATTATCTCCAACACTCATGAGGTCTTTTTCTTGAAACAGCACAAACCTCATCTCCACTACTCACTGATCCCCATCCATCCCCAACTCTTTTCTCATGATTTCATAATCCTCAAGTTTTTCTTGATCAAAACAAACTTCACAAAAGTTAATAATCATATTTCATTTCCTTTCACCTTGATTATTTGAACTACTTTCTGTAGAGACAAAATTTGATAGCATTAAACAATCTTTTCCAACAGAGTTCACAAACCTTTATATCTTACTTTATTGTATGAATTCAACTATTTTCAACATCAAACTTCAATTGACAACCTCCATCTAAATGTATAGAAGTAATTCCCATCCTGTTTAAAATAGGGCACTTTAAAATTAAATTAGATAATTCTTGACTTATTTCAAGACATGATTTTTGATTTTTGATATTCTTTATGAATCAATAGATCCTTCTAAACAGCAATCAAATTTCTTAATAAATGTGTCAAAAATTGATTCACAAATCTCATTTGGACCAATTTCTTCAATTATTTTATTCATTCTCTATGAGACTTCTAGAGATGAAGTTTTCATTCTTACTCTAATTTCATCAAATTATTCAACCTAAGCCAAAAAAAATAATCAAAATCAGTACAATTTGAGTTTGATCAATGTAAGAAAGAATGTAAGAAAGAATGACTTACAACAGCATCATTTCATTGATTAAAAACACTTGTCATCCTTTCACAACTAACAAAAAACTTGACTGATTTGATTCAAAACTGCAACTTGACCAATCCCAATATTACTTTCATTTGCTCTACCTTGTTGTGATTACTGAATATCAGATTTATCCAATTGATCCATATTGTGGTTCAGGTGCATTCAAAACTCCCAAAAATTTAAATTAACAATCTGGCATTAATTTTGACTTGGTTGAAATACTCTTTCTTTGACAGATATATTAAATTCAATTGATTTAGACATTGTATATGCTAAAATTGGCTTAATTTCTAATGAGTGTGGTATATCCTGCTTCACTTTCTTCTCAATCATTTCAATTAAGAAACTTGAAAATGCAGTCTAATAGAAAAAAAACAAAATTCCTGAATTCAGTTCTCTTTTTCTTGTTGTGTATTTGCGTTGATGGACTTACCATTGCATCTAAATGATTGTATCCATTCATATTCATTAGGTTTTGGGTATCTTTTTGTACAAAAGTTTCATGTTCTCTAGTCAATGAAGTATCTGATCAAAATACCATTCAGGCTTTCCAAAACAACCAAACCAGTATATACTTTAAGTGAATAAAAGATTATGCCAATTTGCAAGGTTGATATTTACCTTGCCTAATTGATTGGTAGACCTTTGAATATCAAGATGATACCTAAACCTAAGTTCCATAGGTTTCACAATAGCTTTGATTGCAATTGAAATAGGAACTGGAAACTAAAAATTGCTTTGAAAATTCATTCACTGATTGTACTACTTAAGAGATACAAAACTCGCTAGTTCATTTCTTAACATATTCTTTTTCACTTTCATTCTTTCTATGTTTTTGAAACTCTTCAACTACATAGAGTTTATCAGTTTGTCTATCCCATTTATGTGCTAATCTAATGACAGCAGTTGCACCTTTCCCAATTGCTGCTTTTCCACATACTGCATAATTCTTTAATAATGTACTGGTACCGACTTGTATTTCAGATTTACCATCTTCTGATCGCGCTCCTTTTGATGAAGATGATGGTTTTTGTCCCAACTTTCCTCCTACCATTTCTCTTGATTCCGATGATGATGATAGAGCGACTACTTTTTCTTCAGGACTTGTTGGTTTGTCATTCGGTGTAACTCTAACACTTGCATTTAAAAGTTTACTTGCAAGTCCTTCAGTCGTCGTCACCTTTTTACTCAATTGTTCATTTCATTCATCACTTTACTATAATTTTGAGTTCCATTTGATTTATTACCAATAGTAGATCCAGCAGCAGGATGATTTGATGCTTGACGTGAAAGGAATCACATCATACTATTTCCTGTTTCACCTCCATGATTTGATCCACCTTGAACTGATCGTTTATCACTTGTCTTATGTTCTAAGATGGTCGATTCCGTAGTATTACTATCTCCCCTTTCATTTCCACTATTAACTCCTTCTACACTTTTACTATGTCCTCCAATCCTTCCTTGACTTTCTACTTTCAAATCTCCACTATGTGCTCGTTTTTCAAATAATTTTCCAAATATGCTTTTACGTTCAGGTTGAACTTGAGATTTCCTATTGTTTTTTTAACATTATCAGAAGAAAAAAGCAAGATCAGCGGTTTGAAATAGGTAAGAACCGAAATGGTAAAGAAGTGACTCAAAACGATTTGTACTTCAGCAGGTTTAGTGGCACATCTGATTTAGAAGTTGGAGCTAATTTAGGTGCATATGAACCTAGATCAGAAGGCAATTTTGGGCTTGAACCACAAGTAGAAGGTGCAAAGGTAGTATGTAAATCTGGAGTTGGAGTTGGATTGTTAGGAGTGATGATTGATTGAAGGATAGGTTTATTGTTGGGATTGATGATAACTTTAGATTCATTGAGAGTATGAATTGAATTTGGATCTGAAATTGATAGATGATGATAAATCTGTTCAGATTCAAGTTGATTTGGTTGTTAAGTAGTGATCATGTGTTTAGCAGTAGAGTCATCATGACTGGAGTGAGAGTATCTTGTTGATTGTTACTGGCAAGAGTATCTTGATGATTGCTATTGGCAAGAGTATCTTGTTCATTTTCATTGGCCAGAGTAGCTTGTCGATTGTTATTGGTGAGAGTATCTTGTTGTTGATTGTTATTATCTTCTTTAAGATTAGCTTATTGATTGTGATTATCTTGTTGATTGAGATTGGTTTGATGAAGATGGGTAGATATATCCAAATCGAGTTTCATTGAAGCTTGACAAGGAGTAAGAGAAGGAGAATGCAAAGAGAGTTGATTAAGATGAGAATGAAGTCAATGGTGGTGAAGAATTAATTTGATGAGGGGAGCGAGGAATGGATTTGGGGTGAGGCGCGTGGAAATCAGGTTAAATCTGGTGAACGTGTAAACCTGGAAATTGGTAACACACTGCCAGCATTAAATAGGTTCCCTGGTCGGAACGTGACCTAGGCTGGGAATATCATTGAGAGAAGAATGGAGAATCAAATCATCTTGCACTGCACATCTGAGCCATAAAGCATACACTACATGTGTGCAAACATCTGAGTAAATCCTTAGCTATCAGCTACATACAGGTCGGCTCAGTTATCTGCTCATCTAGATAAGAAAATCATGTGTAATACATGCTGTAACTTTGTTCAGATTGAGACACACATTTCAAAATATTGACTACATATATCACAACGGCTACTCAGGAAATATTCATGGAACTGTGTAACAGTAGCAGAATGGGAATCTGATCACTAGGACCCGTATTCCCATCTGGGAACCTCTTTAATGCTGGCAGTGACAGGGATTGGGAGTTAAATCAGGTTTTGCCGGCGAACACGGTTTACCTTTAACTTGAATGATGATGCTTACAATATTGATTACGCTTATATTTGACGAATATAATTGCCAAGCTTACCAGATAACATTGTACTCGTTAAGCTTATCAAACGTATCCAGGGAAAGACATTGGGAGAAAGGGCTTCCAAGTATCCCACTGAGCTTCAGTATTCCGTTAAGATCAATAAAGTATTCAAAGTGAGCTACAATAAGCTACAATAGGTTATCTTGTTTCTGATATTTGTTCAGCTTACAATTTGTATGAGAGGTCCATTTGTCCTTAATAGATGAGCAGATAAAGAAAAACCCCTGAAAAGAGGAAGGGCTTGATAGGTCTTTAAATCTTTGAAACATAGTCAAGTTGGCTCCTGAGCATAGTAAGCTATATGTACATGATGATTTGTTTAGTCACTCTATACGTCCTTTTGATATCTTCTGTGGGATTGAGCTGCCTGATTCATCAGTGCCAGTGGTCAACTCCGAGGGGCATGTTGTTGGAGGTAATGGAAACCTTGGTGATGTCTAAACCTATCAAAATTTGTACATGTCATTCAAAGTTGCACATCGTTGGTGTCTGTCACGCTGGAGTCTGAGATGTTTTTAAATGACTTTGGAAAAAAGAATCATCCTATCCAAGGAGTTAAGATATATGTATGTATGTACAAGCCGATTGGAGACGCTTAAAGTCGTGCCATCCAAGGAGTTAAGATATACAAGCCAATTGGAGACGCTTGAAGTGATTGGAGTTCTTTAGGCTAATCCAATTTGACTTTGTTTTCTACATCACACATTGTTTGATCAAGTGCCTCCAAACCTAGTAAGGAAAATTTCTTTGGAATGTGTGTTGTGGTCGTCAAGAAAACATCCGGAGTCCGAGACATCACCCCTAATTCCAATCAATGATGATGTTTGCAACATCACAGCCAGGGAATGAAGACTATTCCCGAAAGATGAATGAATTGGTTTTTCAGTTTTTCAAACCATCTTTGGAGATATGTTTTCAACTCAACAAACAGAGTCCATACAAACCAAAGAATGCATTAGCTAGTTAGTCCAAAGACCAAATCGTATGTATTAATGATTAATATTCCCCTGTGAGGCCCAATGAAAGTCAATGGATTCATAATTATTTTCCAGAAAGATTCTTCCCAATCTGATTTGAAACTGATTTTCTTACATAGTCACTTTGATCCCTCGCTCTGTGATGGATTAGATTAGATTACAGTTTACATCACTATCAGATGATGCAGTAAAACCATGTCCAAGATTGGTGTACATATGTATTCTTAAAAGAAATCAAGCACGGGCGCATCGGCAGGAGTTGGCGGGAGGAGAAGAAGAGTTGTTGATGATTACAAAGTAGAATCTGATTGGATTGGATCCGACCGATGAATTCTTTAACAAGTCATGATCAAGTTCGGAAGTTTAGATCAGAAAAAGATTTTATATTTTTCATTTTGGATCATCAATTTCACAGTCTAGATAACAACATACAAAGCTTCATATGGAATGATCAGTTGAGTTGATGAATGGCTCAGCATTTCTTTTTACATTAGTTTATAACGAAATCAGTAAAATTAAATTTTATCAAAGGGTCCAGATCGAAATCAAATATTCATAAACTTGTACAAATTCGAATACAAGCCAATTTCTTGGTACATCCAATTCCAGCCCATTCATCCTCTTCAATTCTGGATTATCTAATTGGTTTCATTCATTTCTTTTCTGATCATCTTCTTTATCTTACATACTATATCTCTTCATCTTCAAATCAAATCGAATCTACTGACATTCTTCTTATCATCTCCTCAAAGAACAAAATGACACTAAGCTCTATATCACCATTTGATCATCATTCAAGTGAAGAAGAAACTACATTCTCAGCTCATCATCATCACAACCCTTATCTTCATCAAGATTATCGTCATCTTCATCTTCATCAGCACCATCAAATGAGACCTAACATGACCATTGAAGTGATTGATTCGAGCACAGAATCTTCGAGTTTATTACATTCACCTAGTTCATCTTCCATCTCATTCTCAAATTCAACTCAATCTGCCACTCCTCCATTAACACCCATAGAATCTCAACATCATCAAATCACTTTACCTGAGATCGTTCATCATTCAATCGATCATTCTCCTACTTCATCTTGGTTTCAACCTCAACCGATTCTATCTAAACATTATCATCTGTCTTCAAAATCTCCCATCTTACCTTTACACATTCATCAAACTATTCATCATCAAGCAACTCCTTCAAAACAAGAAGATCTATCACAATCCGAATCGAAACTAAAATCATCTACAGTCATCAAATCAAACCCAAACCCAAACCCAACACTCTCATCATCCATCTTGATCTCAAGAGTCTTGATCTTAATCGGTCTATCAGTTTCTTCATTCTTAGTGATTGCTTATCTGGTGACGACTATCCCAGGACTTCAACTACCTACTTCCTTATCACAAGTATCAAATCAAATCCATGATCTAAGACAATACTCTCAATCATCCCCATCCCAAGCCTTACATTTATTGATCATCATCAGTTTGATTTTGATATGGAAACAAACCTTTTCGATCCCAGGCACGGTGTTTTCAAACGTATTGATTGGCTCATTATACGGAACATTCTATTCAACACTCTTGACTTCCTTCTTAACTGCTGTAGGATCGACCTTTGCTTATTCTTTAGCTATGATTGCAAGACCTTTGATTTATAGATACTTTCCTAATGCTATTAAATCAGTTAAAAACTCTTTGGATTGTTTTAAAACTCATTCTAATCAGTATGATCAATTTGAATTAATTAGTTATTTGTTGTTGGCTAGATTGATTCCTATCTTACCTTACTCGGCTTTGAATTTAACGTCCGGTGCCATAGGATTACCGGTCTTGCCTTTCTTTTTGACACTCTTCTTTGGTTCTTTACCTTATAATTTCTTAACTACTCAAGTTGAGTTTTCTTTTTGATCTCTCTCTTTACCATATCTTTGATACTCATCATTTTACCTCTTTTTCATCTTTTTTTTTTGGTTTCCTTTTGGGGGTTTTAGGTTGGACATCTTATTGGAATCGCTACACGAAATCATCATCAACATTTATCGATTTGGAATTCAGATTTGTTATTCAAATTGGTCTTTATTTCATTACTTTCTTGTCTTCCAATCTTATTTAAAAATCGTTTGAAATCTTTAATCTTAAAATTCAAACGATTTTCTCGTTCTTATCTTGGATTTTAATCTTCTTCTTTTTTCTTTGCTTTTTCTTTGTTTTGTTTTTCTGATTTCAGTTTTTCGTGTTTCTAGTTAATTTTTTTTTGATATCTTACTTTTAGTTGCTTGTTTTTTTTTTTCTTTTTCCTTTCCTTTCGTTTCGTTTTTTTTTTTTTCGTTTCGATTTTCTCATTTCTTTTTCCTTTTTTATCTTTATCATGCTTTTCTTATTTTTATTCCAAACGACATGATTTTCATTAGTTAATATTCTCATCATGTATCCTCTTTTTTTTCAAATCCCAACTTTTCTTCTTCTTCTTCTTTTAAAGTTATGAACATTTTCATGTTTGATTCAATGATTCTTTTTGGTTGTTATTGTACATATTTTATACAAACCAAAGTTTAATGAACAGTTTTGATGAATGACGTAATGATGATTTTAATTAATTTTATATGAAGGAACTTGATTGTATATCTGTTTTACCTAAAAAAAAAGCTGGTTTTATTTGTGTTCATAGTCAGCCAGCTTGGTTTAGAAAACCAGTGGGATCTTTGATGGTTTTCCTGGACGGAGGATCATTTGGTGTATTCAAAGTACCAAGAACACGAGATAAGCCAGCGAAATGTATTTCATATCGAGAGATGATCCGGGTGCCTTAATGGCTGTTTCTTTGATGATTTGTTCGGAAGGAAAACGGTTCTGAGGTATTCAAAGTATGTACCAAGAACACAAGATATCCAAGCGAAATGCAATTCATATATATCGAGATATGATTCGGGTGCCTTATGGACAAACTGCGAAAAACTGATTGATTCTAATTTCAACTTACGTAGGATCTCCACTTCAAGACACATACCAAAATCACCTGACGAGTTTACCTACGGGAGGAATTTAGAAACTTATTGTTATCTGGACTACATAGTTGGACACAAGCTTGGTGAAGGGTTTCATCTGAGGTTGACTTGTTGGCCCAGTGTTATTCATCATTTAATTGAGTTACCATCCGATTCCAAAGCCTCAGGTTTTTTCTTTAAGTTTTTATATTAGTTTTCTTTTTTGGTGTACTTACTACGAGGTGTTTGAAAGTTTATCTACTTTATTGTGACTTGAAATATTGATTTTCTTGGGGCTCTTTACTTTTGTTTCAATATAAAGGTTTTCTTAGAGGTGTTAGATTTTTGGGGTGGGATTGGTTCAGGATATAAAAAGATCATTTTTATATTTAAGACTGTGAGTTTGTTTTTCTTCGCTTCTTTGATTTTGTTTCTTGGTAGCTGTAAGAATAAACATAGAAAAAGATCACTGATTTCTTTCTTAACTCTGCTTTAGTAAATACAAGAATAAAATAAAAATAAAGCTTAGGTGATGAGTTTTTTTTTGACGATTTTTATTGGGATTTTAATCTCAGTACTTACAGTTTTGTGCTGCTGCATTAGACTGTGATAACTTGAAATATGTTTCTGGAATTGATCATTGTGAAGTCTTAAATGAATTATCAGGTCAAAAAGATGATCAATCAAGGTACATGAACTTTTCAGAAACATATAAAAACTTTATAAAAAGTACTTTAAAGATGTGCAAGAGCTTCACAAAAAAGTATCAGCAAATGAAGAAATGAAAAGCCAATCTACCAAAGAGATTCAACCAAACTCTGAAACCATAGAAAAGAAAATCACATTGATGACAAATAGAATTATCCAATCCATCCAAAAATCTATCACAAAAAACTCATTAACCATTCAAACCAATCTGATGGCTTATTCATTTGTAAGGTTTATTTATTTCAGTTGGTTTATTCAACAATTCACCATGAATGGTTTTCTAGAGGTTTGTTTGATTAACCTGGTTTGGAATGTTTTCTTAAAATTTGGTTTAATGGTTTTTTGAAATGCCAAAAAAGGTTTGGTACATCAGGAAGGTTTGGAAGAAAAGATACATGGATTATGGGCTTGGACATTCAATCAATGTAAATAAATGTTTTATAAGTTTTACCAAAATAAGTTACACATGAATGAAAGATTTTTTGGTTTTTTTATATGGACATGGGTACAAAACTTAACCAAGTCTCTCACTGGCTCTGTGCCAAAGGCCTGTATGTGGCACTACATACTTTTTTTTTGGCGGGGAAAAAGAAAAAAATATACTTTTGACCTTGTTCTCCCTGCCAAAAAAAAAGGATGTAGCAAAAAGTATGTACATGTGCATACTTAATCTACCAAAGAGATTCAACCAAACTCTGAAATCATCAAAAAGAAAATCACATTGATGACAAATAAAATTATCCAATCCATCCAAAAATCTATCACAAAAAACTCATTAACCATTCAAACCAATCTGATGGCTTATTCATTCTTAAGGTTTATTCATTTCCGTTGGTTTATTCAACAATTCATCATGAATGGTTTTCTAGAAGTTTGTTTGATTAATCTGGTTTGGAATTTTTTCTTAGAATTTGGTTTAATGGTTTTTTGGAATGCCAAAAAAGATTTGGTACATCAGCAGGGTTTGGAAGAAAAGATACATGGATTATGGGCTTGGACATACAACCAATAGGGGGTTTCAAGTTCAATTTTTTTTTGTGTAATTTTTAAAAATTCAGACAAGTTGTTCGTAAAAAAAATCTTTGTAAAACAACGTAATTTTAATTCGGGACACCTAAAAAGGTGTCCCGCTGTAAAAAATTTACGCATATTTTACAACAACGGGCAAGTTGTTGTAGCGTAAAAATACGCAAAAAAATTCAACTTGAAACCCCCTAATGTAAATAAATGTTTTATAAGTTTTACCAAAATAAGTTACACATGAATGAAAGATTTTTTGGTTTTTTTTATATGAACATGGGTACCAAACTTAACCAAGTCTCTCACTGGCTCTGTGCCAAAGGCCTGTATGTGGCGCTACATACTTTTTTTTGGCGGGGAAAAAGAAAAAAAATATACTTTTGACCTCGTTCTCCCTGCCAAAAAAAAAGTATGTAGCAAAAAGTATGTACATGTGCCCCAATTATTGCTTCTTAGTGATTTCTGTGAGATTTGTAGTGACAATCAGACTAGTTTTTGAATGGTAGTATAGTTCATTATTTATTTTGGTTTACTACATAGGTTTCATGAAATCTAAGATGTAATGTTGAACTCTAGGTTTGAATTTATAGACTGATGAGTAAATCTAAAAGAGAATCAAAAAATAGGGAAATGATCTACCAGAATACAAAGGGATTTCAAAGAGTATGAAACCAAAATCCAGAGACTGTGAAAGCAATTTAAGAGGGTGTTGGAGAGAAAACAAACTTTAGACTTATCATTGAAAATCATGGATGAGCTAGTTGTGGAATACAAATTAGAAATCCAGACTTGTGTCCAGTATTCCAACTCAGACTTTTTGACTATAGTGTTTTGGCTTGCCTAGTTGCAAGTCCAGCCAAAGATTCCAATCTGGAAAACAAGGCACAAACCCAGATTTTTACTTTTTATCTTGTGTATCTTTGTTCTTTTATATTTAAAAATACATCACTGGAAAGATAGGTTAATGATATTTTGAAAACAACACCTACACTCCCTGAATAGTCTGATTAAGCATCCAATATCAACACAACTAAGGTCAGGTTATATTTTCTGTAACCATCATTGATCTTAATTCAAACAGGTTCAGACTCTGGGACCCAAGCTGAAAGTGACAGACCTTGTAAGAGCAAAACACTTTTTATTCACATGCAAAAAATCCACCAAAGAAAGACATCAAGTCCAACCCCGCCAACAAAGATGCCTTAGAATTTCTAATCAGAGGCATCCTTGGATGGCAATAGCCTAGACCTGGTGCCCAAGTAATTCATCTGAGGCAATTGTTGGGGCCAAAGAAAGCCTTGGATTAATTTCTGGACACACAGTTCAAAGGAATCTGTATCCAAGTCAACATCAGATTTGACAGTCCAAGGTATCTTTGCCAGAAGTGCAAGACCACCATACTTAACAAACCCATTGCTTTTCAAGCCATCACTCAATATTGTGACAGAACATGGCAGTTGACAAATTTCTGGAACTGGGCTACAATTTCAGATGAAGACTTGCCAACAGACAGGAAACCACCAAGGAATTAAAACCTCTGCCCCATCTTTTAGCCAACAAATCATGTCTCCTTACAAACATTGTGTATGCTATTTGAGACAGCCAACATAAACCTTTCACCTGACACAGCCAGAGGGGTTTTACTGGTTCTGGAAACACAAGCAGTGTTGAATGGCCAAAGGCTCTAACAACACTTTAAGCAATGCAAAAATAAATACACGTTACATGGTCCTATGTGGCACAGGTAAAATCCCATCTCCAGTGTCATTTCACAATGGCACAACAGTCTTGCTTGCACAATACAGCATTGAATCTATTGTAACAGGGTGTGTATAGAATCAGCTTGCAGATCACCGAGGTTAAAGTTGGGTAAAAGTTTTGAATGGTTTGGGTACTTTTTCCTCCAAGCCGTTCAAAATGTATTTTGTTTGAAAAAAGATTCCATGAGTGTGATTCTCAGAAAGGGCATCCTCAAAATCTTTTGAAAATTTAAAAATTTCCAGTAGAATTTTGATGGAGGTGAAGTTTTCTTTTAGTGACCTTTCCAACTCAAATCTCTGTTTTATGTCTGAAAGATGTGTTGCAACTGTCAGAGCAGGGATTGTTATAGTTCATAAACAGAAACCTTATGAACCATCAAATCCCACAAGTCTGAGTTAACAGGACCCAGGAATGCATCTATAGAGGTATGTAAGGAGAATCCCGACGGTTTGTTGGTGCGGTTTTTGGGCACTTAACACCACATTTACAGCAGCTATAGTAGTGCAAAATGTGCGTGGGATTGAAGGCTTTCATTTAAGCTAGCTTTCAGCCTCATAGCACCTATACTGCCTGAGTTAAACAGATGTAACGGTCAAAAACAGCCCTAAATTGAACGTCGGGATCAGGCCTTGGAGGCACAATTGTTTTTTGCGCCAATTGATTTTGTGCCAAGGTGAGTGAAGTTGAGATACTTGGAGTAGGCTCATTCAATAGCCCTACTCCATGCGCATCTTTTGAAGTGCTCTGGAACTTGAGACAATGAGTTTTGTGTTGTGTAGAGCCCAAAAACTGAAAAATGTGTTTTGTTATATACCTTTATAGGTGCAATCCTGGGTTATGAGTTAACTCACCTGTCAGAGCAGGGATTGTTATAGTTCAGAAACAGAAACCTTATGAACAATCAAATCCCACGAGTCTGAGTTAACTCACCTTTCACCCAAGAATAGATTAGAATATCTTGGATGAAGAGGGAGACTAGAACTTTGTTGCTCTTCCAGGTCTTTAAACAATATTGTTCTTCAGCAATACATAGGTTTAAAATGATGACAGAGTGCAAGACTTATGAAACATACAAGCATTACATATGAAATAAAGAGTAAATAATAAATGAAATAACAAGTGTAATAATGAGATGTCAGACTTGTGAAATGTAATTGTTACACGAATGAAACTATACTTTAACAACATGCACCATTTTCTGGAATCCAGTCAGGCCTATTCAACTTGGATTCATTTCTGAGATGATTCATGTTTTATGGGTCTATTGAAGAGAATTGATTCATTGCTGATCTGTTGAAGAATAGTGTTTCAATCAACCAGATGAAGGGTGTCTTAGAATTATGAACACTTCTTCATTCCATGTGTTTCATTTATAGTTCCACTAAATTTATGCCAAAGTTTTCTCATTTTTTAGCTTACATGGTCCATGTTCATTTTCTCATAGGTGGGTCTCTTCAAGATTTTCTTCATCATCAATCTCGAGTTCATACAAAGTTTTCTCCTTGTTAGCTTCATGGTTCATTTTGATTTTGTCATAGGTGGGTTTCTTGAAGATTTGCTTTATCATCAATCTAGAGTTCATACTTGGGAACATGACTTTCAAATACCATTATCTCTCCTGTTAGAAAAATCCATCTAGCTCTCAGGCTTACTTACTTTGGACACTTCTGATGCTTACCATAACACAGTCACATAAGGAGTATTGTCTGTGGAAACCTTTTGAAAGGTCCATTGATTAAGCTTTATAGGTACAGATATTTATCAATTGCAAATAGAATTTTTGCACGGATGCAAGACAAGGTTTGGACATGTGAAAAGAGCTGACTTCTTCTTGGTTGAAAAGATGTTTTTGGTATTGAATCTGAGAGAATACAGTATAGGTTAACAATATGAGACTTAGTTTTTTTTAAATCAATATCATTCTTTTGGCTTATCATCAGTCTTCAGGCCGCCCACTACAACCTTTTCAACCCCATCAGTTCACAAGTACAGAAGCATCAACTTGTCGGCCAATAGTCACCAACTCAATTTCTGTTATGATCTCACATATGGATGGACAATGTTTTGAAAGCGCAAGATATATGCAACAAATTCATGAACAAGCACATGAAAACTTTGAAATTCAATCAAGGAACAATAGCTTTGAAAATGAACCTGAACTGAACATGAAGGATGTTGGTTATTTCAGTCAAAATACACAAAAATGGATATATAACCTTTTGGATGATATACTTACAGGAATCCGAGACAATTATCTATATGATAGCTTTATGTTTTGGGGGATATATCATCTTAGAAGATATGCATAGGGGAGTCTAAAAATTTGATATGCCAAAGTCAAGTAAAGATATCCATACAGTCTCACCAAATACAGTATTTTGATACACACTATTTTGCAGAATTTCTCCAAGCTCATTTCAAGATAGTGGGAATTAAAATGTTCATGATGCCTAACATTTGTAAATTCATGTACAAATCTAATTTCAGTTTGAGACACTTTCTATCAGTAATTTTGAGGAAACTAGAGCTGAATTTAACATCATTTTGGAGTATTCAAGAATTGTGTACCAGCTCTTTATTTGTTCAGTTGTGATAAGCTCGCAAGGTAAGATAGCCCACATAATCCACTGTAGTATGGTATAACAGCTCCAGAATATCTGCACAAGACTTTGTAGGATTCCACAGCTCTCCTGAGCTTGGTGTGGGGTAAGACTAGGTTTGGAAGCCTCAAAATAGAGTTTGTAGTAAACAGGGTCACAAATAATTCTTCTCTCAGGAAAAGGGGAGTTGTTCCATAAGCTCCTCTTTGAGTGGGGTGGAAAACATGTGCACAAAGAGGTTAGGCAAGTAAAGGCAGATTGGGGTTGACAAGATTATGAGGCACAATCCCCAAAAGATATTGAAAGAACTGTGACCTGGTAATTTCAAGGCCATATCCACCTTAAGATTTTAAACTTGTCATGATTATCCTGTGTATATTGATTTTGGAACAATTTTGATGGGATATATATTGTGGTACATATGATGACTTGTGGGGTTTAGACACAACCAATCAGCTCTGCAATAAATGTGCACATTTTTCTTGTTTCTCCTCCAAATCCCCTCTGGTAGACATCTCAATTAGATGTCCAAGTTAAACATGTAGCTTCAGCCATGCATCATTTACAGCTGTATGGGCCTTCCATTAGTCAGACAGCAAGACATATAAGCAGACCAATCTGATTCCACATTCATGTTATGCCTAAAACCAGACATTTCTGCCCTCAAATATCACACAGCATAGACATCTATAATTTTAAATACAAGTATCAGAAACATTTGACTTTTAGGAGCTCTAACTACACTCATAGGCAAGCTTGTCTCATGCTCTTTTTATCTTAGATCAGGGATCAGACATTAGCTGCAACCAGATTCAATAGGTTATCCATCAGCACCCCATGTCTTGACATGAATTGCATCTTACTTGGATATCTTGTGTTTTTGGTATATCTGGGATTTCAAAGCTCCCCTGAGCTTTATTTGAGGTGAGACAAGGTTTGGAAGCCTCAAAATGGACTTTGCAGCAATCAGGGTGAAAAATCTTTTTTCTCTCAGCAAAAGGGGAGTTGTTCCAAAAGCTCCTCCCTGAGGGGGTGGAGAGTATGTGCACAAAGAAATTAGAAAAGTCAAGAGAGTTATGTTGTTCAGATTATGTGGTGCAATTTCCAAAAATATCTTCAGTTTCTCCTTGACCACTGCTTTTGAGGGAATTGTGCAGAATTCATATTGACACTGAGGATAGTTGATGATTTTGATATAGTTCACTGTCCATTCCTTCAAAAAATGTTTCATAAAAAGCAATATGTATTTTAAAACTCTGGGGTTGATCTAGAGACCAATAAATAATTCCCCAAGAAGATCAAAAAGTTGGAAATGGCCACCCACTGGCAACACAAAAAATTATCTTACAAACTGTGAAACCAATTCATCCAAGACACACAAGGAGGGTTGAGGAGAAAATGAATTGGGCTCTATGTGTAGATCTCATCATTTGAACTCATCATTGAAATTCATGGATGAGCTGTTGTATCTTTGGACTTCAATCTGAATGGGTGCACCTCAGGAGATGGTTTGATGATATTGATACATGCTAGATAGTCTTACATAGCACACAAGAATACTATTCTTGGTTTCATGTCGCCAATGCACAACAGCCTCTCTGGTACAATAGGGGCTTGATGCATTTCAATGCCCTTGCATACTGAAAAGCCATGAAGGGTATCTACTCCCTCAAGATTTGAAATAAGCTATGTCATGGGATACACTTTTTATTTTGGCAGGGTTTGTCCAGAATCAGCTGTCAGATCATTGGGGTTAAAGTAGGATAAGATGTGCCTAGATGTTTAGGTACTTTGGCCTCCCATCCCTTCAAAATGTTTTTTTGAAAAAGGGATACCATGAGTGTGCTCCTCAGGGAGGGCTTCCTCAGCACTCTTGAATGTAGGAATTCCAAACACACTTTTGGTGTAGGGACAGTTTTGCCTCAGGAAATTTTCCAACTTGAATATCTGTATTATGCCTGACTAGTGTACCATCATCTGGCTTACGGTCATGACTGGGCAAACTGTATGCATTCCTGAGAGGATTCATGTTTTATGAGTCTATGGAAAGGTCTGCAGTCATTCCTGATCTGTTTGAAAACAGTGTTTCAAGGAACAATATCAAGGATGTATTGAATTCATGATTGTTCATTCCCCATGCATGCTTTATTATCCAATTGTTCTACAATAAAGATTCTCAACTTTTGTCCTTCAAACCAAAATCTCCTTCTCCTTTTGATTTCAAAATTTCTCTCAATTGTTTACCATCAATCTTGAGCTCATACCTGCAGTGAGTACATGATTCTATCATTTTCTTATCTCTCTTCTTATATAAGTGCATCTAGCTTGCGGGCTTATAAATTGTGGTTGCTTATGATACTTTCAATGAACCAGTATAACCTTCTCAAGTTGCCATTGATTGAGGGACATTGGTATGATAATTCCTGAATTTTTGATAGATCTTTTGAGTGCCTTCAAAGGCAGGCTCACAAGTAACAACACATGAGCTGACTTTTCTTTTGTTCTGAAAGTCATTTGACATAAAATACAGTATACTACAATATCATGAAAATTATAATTACTTTTCTCAGTATGATCCTTTATGCTGTGAATCCAGCATCAGGTCTTTGGTTACCTGCTATTAAACCTTCTCATATCTCAAGAACTGATGGAATTACCTGCCCAAGAGTCGCTGAGCCAATTTCTGTGGCCTACCCAATCACCTACCAGCAATTTCTTGAAACAGAAAGATACACGCAACAGATTCATGAACAAGCACATAAAGACTTTGGCACTGAATCAACTAAAGATATTCTTGAAACCAACCCTGAAATTAACAAGAAGAATGTAGGCTTTCTTGGGAAAGAGACACAAAAATGGAAACCTGACCTTGTGGTAGATATCCTTACAGTACTGGGAGACAATGCTATATACAACATCTGGATGATTTGGGTGATGCGTTATCTTAGGAGATATGTTTAAAGGAGCCCAATGACTTGATATGCTGAAGGAAGGTGAAGCTAACCCCAAAGCCCACAAATTTTTTGCCTCATAGAGGCTCTTGTACATAATTTCTTTGTACTAATGTTGAGATAGTGGGAATTTGACTGCCTATGGTTACCAGCATTTTAAACTTCATGCCAAACTATTCCTATTGTGAGGATTGGGAAAATCAGAGCTGCAAATAACTTCACTGTGAAGTTTCCAAGCATGTATACCAGCTCCGTATTGATTTAGTAGTGATAAATGTGTGATTTAACATAGCCCATAAGATCCACCACAATTTGAGGAAAGAGTGCCAGACAGTGTGCAAGCCTATTGAGCATTACAAATGTCTTCTGAGTTAAGTGTGAGGTCAGACATGGTTTGGAAGCCTCCAAATTGACTTTGAAGCAACCATGGCAACAAAAGCTTCTTTTCTCAGGCAAAGGGGGGTTGTGACTAAGCCCATCTTTGAGGCAGTTGGTTACATACACAAAAAGAGATCAGGAAATTCAAGACAGATGTATGTTTTTAGCCTATGGCTTTCAAGCGGAAACTCAGCACTTATGTGTTTAGCCCCAAGGGCACGCATAAATGCTGAGGTTTGCTTGAAAGGGGAGGGTTTTACAAGTTTAAATTCATCTAATATACAAAAAATACATTAAATCAGATTCTGTTTATATCTCAGATTAGCCACATTTTCACTTGGAAAATAACTGTCTCATTGGCTTATAAAACAATCAAATTCACTCATCAACAACCCTCTAATAATTGTCTTCATCTATGATGTGAGCTTACACCTTCAAAGAGGTAAATTATTTGTTTCTTTCAACTTAAAAACAAGTAGCAGAGTTACCAGAACCCATCACTTCAAAAAAAAGTTAGTTGTAAGCTACCTTCAAACTTCTTAGCAAGGCCGCCACAGATACGATACTGGTATCATGCCCGGCGGTACCAGTACCGTATCTGTGCTCACAATACCCATAATCATGGTATCTGATATTGTACCTGGACTCCGGTACGGTACCAAGAACCGTACCAAAGCCCACAATACCCATACTTACTAGGCAACAGTTCCGTATCGCCACATACAAAACGGTACGGTACTATACCATACCGTTTGATACATCCCCGATACGGTTCAATAACGTACTGTGACAAAGATACCATGAAACTATTGTACCGTGTAGCTTGACAACCACCATAACATGAAATTTGCAAAAGAAAACAAACAAATAAAGAGAGAAACAATAAGAACTTTCACAACTTTCACTTTCTTCTTTCCCGCACAACTTGATCCTTTGCGATACAATCTGCCATCATCTCTTCAGCTGTTTCAAACTTGCCGGCCATTTTGACTCCTTGTACAGACCATATAAGTCCCCCTAAAGTACGCTTGATTGTTTGTGGCTTAAGAGCCATTCAAAATTGAGAGTGGGCTATGAGACTTATGAGCAAACCTGTTAGGGAATGCTAGTTAGTAACTAGTAAGAGAAATAACTATCTCAGTGACCAATAAGGAGCAGAACAATACCTGTTAGGGAATGCTGGTTAGTAACCAGTAATAGATATAACTATCTCAGTGACCAATAAGGAGCAGAACAATACCTGTTAGGGAATGCTGTTTAGTAACCAGTAATAGATATAACTATCTCAGTGACCAATAAGGATCAGAAAAATACCTGCTCGAAGTGATGAATAGAATTGGTAAGGAAAAGAGAAACTACAATAGGTAATGAAGCACTCTTTATATATATCCCGAAGACATCACAAGATATGGTCAGATTACTAATAGCATTCACAGCAATGACATCATGATGAGAAAGATATGAGTAAGATGATATCATAGCATATCAGACAAGAAAAGAATATAATAAGAATAAATATAAGATTAGATAACCCCAAATATATAGATAAGTTTTTAACTTCAATTTTCAATCCTGAGAGCATACATCAGCGGAGGCAGAGAATCTTCTCTCCACTGGGCACGCCGTAGCACTGATACCAAGATAGTCGCGTGCCAGGGAACTCAAGACCGGATATTTGCTTGCGTTGAGCTGAACATAATAGGAATAGATGACATTCAGTGAAAAATCGAACCATTAGTTGAGAAATTGAGAAAGGGACATGTAGACAAACCCTCCATCACTCCAACACCAGATGAGGGTTCTCCGCTACCTCTGGAGCTGGATCTTCTGCCATATCAAAATAGGATCAAAGCTCATTGGCGGTGTTTTGAAGGTTGCGTTCCTTGTGCTTGCGGAACTCCTTGTCCTCTTCATTCAACTTCTTGCTTTGACCCACAGGATTAGATAATGTTGACTGATTATTAACTCCTTCATTCTCCATTTCAGACTTCCGATGGGTGTATGCTGATTCTATAAGTAACTTTTCCAGCTCTGACTCTTCGGAATTTGGTACAAAAGCAAAGTCAAAGTAATCCAAGCATTAGCTTGGATGCAAAATGGTTGCAAGGATTAATATGTTAGATCCAAGCGCTTCCTTGAGATAAGACTTCACTCGCACCAGCATGGCGTGGTGCATAGGGAAGAGCGGCTTGCTTTGAGATTGTGTGGTGTCTATCTTCTTTTGAAGATATTTCTGAAGCTTGACATACTCGTGTATGACAAGTCAAGCGGTGGGTCCGTCTTGTTCAAAGAATTTAGTTAAATTCTTAAACTCCTACAAAAACGTGTAATGAATAGTCTTTGAGTATTCCACCCAAATACATGATTTCAATGATCAAACAAAAGCAACTTGACTCACTTGAAGAAGCTCCATGAGAGCCCTCACTTGTTGCCATTTGTCGGGCAAAATCATGACCTTTTTAAATATACCTCGTGGTTGATTGATATTTGGAGGGAGTGCCGTCTTGCCAGCGCGACTGGTTTGACCTTGGTGCGGCTGATCCATCTGATCTTCTTTCAGAATCTGATTGACGACCTAGGTTGATGAAATGAACGATTGTCAGTAAGAAACAGTGAAGTGAAAACATTATACTGTGCTTACCTCACAGGCATTGTACAACCGAGTCCAGCATTGTAGTTTGATATTCCATCAAATACCATAGCCAGGGATGGGCCTTGGAAGCTTTTCCTTTAACAATGCCTGGCTGACAGCGTCAAAAAGCATGCACATACACTACGCCAGATCACTAATTTACCGCTGAGTTCAGAAAATTGAAACTTTAGAAAACTATCACCAATACAGGGGAGTTCAGAAAAATTTGAAAAAATAATGATTCAATTCATGGGTGCTGTCCCCTCATTTCACATATTTTTGCATATTTTTGCCATGATTTTTGAAGTCTCCCCAAACCAAAATGCTCACAGGGGATATTATGTCAGAAACTCAAATTTTGTCCAAAACTAGCAAGATTTGGGCAAAAACTTCCAATGCACAAAAATATGAGAATTTTTGTTCAATCATCTGAACACTTGCAATTTATGGAAGCCACATGATGGCTCTACAAGGTTTATTAAGGTGCTGAAGCCATTGTAGTAATGACTTCTATGCTTATATATGGTTCCTGCTGTGTACGTCTCTTGATATATCTCACCCATTCTTGGAGACACACAACTTTTTTGTGCACCCAAGCTGTAGAGCCAGAGTGGCATTCAGAATGTCAAGACACTACATGTGTTGGAGCAAAATTGATGATTTTGTTGGTGTTGCAAGGGCACTGTGTCTCTACCTGCCAGTTTTGGACCAAAATTGGGTTTCTGACATTATTTGCATTGTGGTTGTAAAAATATGAAAACATTTACCAGATGATTGGAATGCACCGAAGGGCCCAACCAATATTTTTTCATATTTTTCTGACCCCTCCCAGCTTTTCCATAATTTTCTATGTCTGCTCAATTTTCTAAACTCAGCAGTAAGTTTGCAATTTGGCATAGTGATAACTGCTGAACCACCGATCTTTTGTCCTACAACATCAAGCTATGTTGTGAACATGTTGTCAGCATGTTGTTGTTGTTAAAAGAAAATATTGGATATCAGTATTGTGTCACTTACTTTGGTTGTGAGCAGGTGAACTGCATTGCCCACATTCCGGTCGGTTGCAGACACTTCTTTGATTTCATACGGGCCATTGATCATGTTGTACCAAGTACTACTACTACTAGCCTCTTGAGAGCCAGTCACATTGACGTCATCGACTTCATCATCTGCTTCTGATTCGTCATCGGAGATCTTGTTGGTTTTGCTGCTTTCATCTTCTTCAATCACCGTTGTAGTATTCAAAGCTCAACAAGAGCTTTACAACACCTAAGAAGGGATAATCTACTACGTGTAATATAGTAGAAGTTGCCTAAAGACTGCCTTCTTCAAAGAAACCAGCACAAGGGCACTTGCTGACCACTTTGTGATAACAGAGAAAAAGATAAAGGCACCAGAGAAATAAAGCAATACTGTTGCGTAGTATTATTCCCAGATTCTAAGCGCAAAAAGTCCACACACTATGTTATTACTAGCAATACTGCTGTTAAGTATTATTCCCAATTTGACTTATAGTCTTCAACACACGTAAATAAATTTCTCCTTGCTTTGAAGGGGCGGATTTAAGTGATCTTAGTACAAATATAGCAAATAAATGATGATTTATAACACTACAACAAAGGAATTAGATGCAGAAAGGGGAAAAACAATACCAAAATCATCAAGGAGTACTTATATCCACATGTAACAACCTCTACAATAGTCAACAGCTTCAAAAACCAGTCAAATCCGCCTAAAGAACCCTAAAAACCATGTAATGATGCAATGTAATGATCTTGTTACTAATGTATGATGTAAGTTTGCACAGCCAAAAGTGATCAATGACGCAACGATTTAATGTACAGCACTTCTTAAGATGAATACAGGTGATTTTTCCTTGTAAACTAGCTGCAAACCAATTTTTGAGATTAGAAATTTTTTCAGATGTGGTCCAATTTTGATCTACTATAGTGCATCTTGTAGCCCTGGTGATACTGATCATTTATGACACCCATATGACC